GAATCCACCCTGGATCTTGAACCTGGCTTGTGGGCGGTTTCTGAGACCCACCTCACTGAGTTAGGCATTCACCGTTTTCGCAAGGGACTCCTCCGGGTCAAGTCCCCGTTCTCCAGTTTTGTACCAGGGGCGCCATTGCCCAACCGTCCACATTCCCAGCACGTAGGCACATTCTCCGGTGTGGGCTTGCTTGCCTCCTTTCCTAGCCGCGCGTTGCCGCGGTGCTGGGGGGAAGACCCTGTGAGCACGGGGCGGATACAGGCCACTGCCTCGCTTGTGCATGGGCAGTGGGTGCAGGGAGCCGTCCTTTATGGCTACACGCCAGGCCCGGTGTTCCGCAAAGCTGCCCTCATGACCGATCAGCTGCTTGAGCTTGCTGAAGACCGCATTGTCTTCAACAACTGTGGCCCCCGCTTTGTGGCCGGTGACTTTAACCTCCCCCCTTCTCATGCCCGCTTTCAGGCCTGGCAACGAGCCGGATTCGAGGAGGTTCAGTCCATAGCCTTGCAGCGTTGGGGTATCCAGCCTCAAATGACTTGTCGCATGGCTACGCAGGTGGACCAACTGTGGGTCTCGCCGGAACTAGCCCGGGTGTTGCAGTCGGTCGCCGTGCACCATGACCGGTTTGCCGATCACGCCACTGTCCATGCAGTTTTCACAGGTCTCCAGCCGGAGGTCGTCTATCGGTGGCCTACCCCACGGCCCTTGCCTGAGGTCCCTAAGGAGGCCTGTGCACCCGAACAAGCTGCTCCCGTTTGGTGCCCAGCCACGTTGGCCCAAGCAGGTGACAGCTACCGTAGCTTGTGGGAGGCCTTCGAAGAGCAACATGCTCTCCGGGTTGCCACTGTGGGTGGCCCATCCATGCCTAGTAGGTGCAGAGGGCGAGGTAGTGTGCTTGAGCCCCTAGTTGGAGTCTGTCATGTGCAACCGTTGCGGCCCTCACGTCACGGTGAGGTGGCCCCGCAATTTGAGGGCAACCATAGCATGCACCGCCTTTGGTTTACGCAGTTACGTCGACTCCAAGCTTATAGCAGGTCCGTCAGGCTCGCGGATACGGATCCCGGCCGAGTAGAGAACGTAGTGTGCACCTGGTCCGCCATCATTCGGGCCCGAGGTTTTGCGCCAAGCTTTGCCGAGTGGTGGCATTCTCGCACTCAGCAGTGTCCGTGGGACCCGCCATGTGTCCCGCTCATGCCACCTGATGCAATTGATGCTAAGGCCCTTTCCGAGGCCCTGCTCCGTGAAATTCGGTCCCTTGAAGCTTCCCTCAATAGTGACCGTGTCGCCTGCGCCAAGGCCCGCCGTAAAGCTCACCCTGCATTGGTCTTTCGGGACATTGCTAGGCCTAGGGCTAAGCCCGTCGACCTTCTGGTCAACACGCGACGGGCGCAGGTTGAGCTTGTAGATGAGTCCGATTGTGCAGTCGTGCTGGTTGAGCCTTGCGAGTTCCGTGTCGACCGCCCTGTGTGGGTTGCGGGCAAGCAGTATGGTGTTGTCCATGCCGAGGGGGACAAAATCTGGCTTGATTCCCCAGTGTGTGCTGCTGTAGGTCAAGTGGTAGTCCAAGACGACCTTGTCGGTAACCTTTGTGACGTGTTTGATGCCTTTGCTACCGAGTGGCGAGCTCGATGGGACCGCCATCGGGATGTCCCGGATGCCCGGTGGGACCCGCTGATTGCCCTTGCAAGTAGGTACCTCCCCCAAGTCGATGCTACTGTGGAGCCTATCACGGTCCCACAGTTCCGGAAGGCCATCCAGAGCAAGCACAAGCATGCCGCCACTGGTGCAGACGGGGTTGCCCGGTCTGACCTCCTTCAGCTGTCCGATTCCCAGCTGAGTCAAGCCTTGCATGTCTTTGAGGGCGCCGAGCGCACTGGAATCTGGCCGCAGCAGCTGTTGGTAGGCATTGTTAACTCCCTTGAGAAAACTGAGCACGCATCAACCGCTGCCCAGTACCGGCCTATAGTTGTGCTGAGCCTTGTGTACAGGGTTTGGAGCTCCATACGCTCCCGTCAACTCATCCGCAAGCTGAAGCATTGTCTGGATCCTGGCCTCATGGGCAACGTTCCCAAGCGCCACACCGCTCACATTTGGTATTCTGTGCAGTCCCTTGTCGAGGCCGCCGGCCAAACGGGGGAAGTCTTGTCGGGTGTGGTTGCCGATGTGGTTAAAGCCTTTAATGTGCTGCCTAGGCTGCCAATTTTTGCCATTGCCGCTGCCATAGGAGTAGACTCAGGCGTCATCCGCGCCTGGGCGGGCGCCTGCACCATTCTCGTTCGTCGCTTCCGGGTTCGGAGGTCTGTAGGCCCGGCCATCCCAAGCAGTACAGGCTTGCCGGAAGGCTGTGGCCTCTCGGTGGTAGGCATGATGCTTCTTAACCAGGTCATGGCAATTCATCTCAAGCTTGCCGATCCCGGCATTCAGGTACTGACCTACGTAGACAACTACGAGTTGCTCCAGCGGCAAGGTAGGGATGTTGTGCCGGCCTTCCGGGCCATGCAAGCGTTTGCAGACATGGCTGACCTTCAGCTTGATTCTAAAAAGACCTTCGGGTGGTCCACATCCACCGAAGGTCGCCAATTGCTGCAGGCGCAGGGTTTGCCAGTCCGGTATGCCGAGCGCGACCTTGGGGCACACATGCAGTACTGTAAGCGCAGCACCAACTCGACGCTTACCCAGCGTATCCAAGGCATGAAGCCGCTGTGGCTTCAGCTGGCAGCAAGCTGTTCCCCGCATGTGGAAAAAGTCAAAGCTGTCAGGATTGCTGCATGGCCTCGGGCGTTGCACGGAATCGCCAATGTTCACCTGGGCCCTGTTCACTTTGATAGCCTTAGGACCTCAGCCATGCGCGGGTTGAGGCTTCGTAAGGGGGGGTCTTCCCCTTTGCTCCAACTAGGCCTCATCGAAGAGTTTGCCACGGATCCGTTGGTTTGGGCGGTCCAAGCTACCGTCCGCGCCTTTCGCGAGCATGTTGACGTCGAGCAACTTAGCACCCTTGCTTGTGCAGTTGGAGGCAACACTGCCCACCATGCTGGCCCGTGTGGGGTCCTGGTTGAGCGCCTTGCCTTGTTCGGTTGGTCGATCTCGGGCCAAGCAGTTGTGGTTGACCAATTTGGTCCCTTCTCTGTCCTGGAGGGGTCCCCGCGGGAGGTTGACATTCGCATGCGCCTTCATTGGTTTGCTAAGGTTGGGGCAATGCTTGCACCACGTAAGGCGTTTCCAGGGCTGGAGCTTGTAGATCCTGCCCTCACTCGAGCCTGCCTGCTTAAGCTGCAGGACGAAGACGTTGGTTATGTGCGGGCTGCACTCAACGGTGCCTTCTTCACCCAGGATGGCATTGCCCATATTAACCCGGCAGAAAGTCCCAACTGCCCGCTGTGTGGCATGCCTGACAGTGTGGTCCATCGGCATTGGGAGTGCGTGTACACTTTGCCGTTGCGTCAGGCCATTGCCGAGGATGTCTTTGTCCAGCTTGAGCAGTCACCGGACGCTTTGAGAAGTCGGGGATGGGCCCTCCTTCATCCCATGCATACCTTTTGGCGCCGATTGTTGGTGGCTGAGCCGGATGGCATGCCTCGGGCAGGATTGCCCCTAGACCCACCCGGTTCGGGTGGCATGCCTATCTCCCTTTTCACTGACGGCACTGCCCAGTGCCCCAAGTGGCCGGCGCTTAGGTACGCTGCTTGGCGGTAGTTGAAGTTTGTGAGGTCGACCCGTGGTGTAGCACTTGCATTGCTGCGGGTAGGCTTAAGGGGTTGGTGCAAACGGTGCCTCGTGCTGAAGCCATTGCCGTGTGGGCTGCCCTTGAGTATGTGCACCAGGTAAGTCGTCCCGCGCGCCTCTGGTGTGACTGCCAGTTCGTGGTGGACCGCATGCAAAGCATCCTACAGGGTGGCTTCCGTTGGGATCCGTCTCAGACAGATTCAGATGTCTGGGCGGAC